TATATATATATATATATATATATATCTGTGTGTGTGTGTATTATAAAAAAACTTAAAGTAAATACATAAATAAAAAACAATAAATCAATGCAACACCTAACAAATTAATAATCATTCAGTATAATGAGATTTCTTATTAGTTAACTCTCATATTTCATAAAAACTCTAAAATTCATTATTGCTTTTTAAAAATCCTTTCTTTAATAGATTTAATATTAATTTTCTTTGATTTAAACTTATTATATTTATTTGTAGTTAGAAATTATTCATCATAATTTCCAATATTAGAATCACCCATTTCATCAAGCGTATTATTTTATTATTATTCTATGTAAAAGTTAATTTCAATTTTTTTCAAAACGATTTTTTTTATAGGTTAAAATACTCATTATTTATTTAGTTTCGTTACATATTTATTTATTTATTTTATGACGCTCATAATAAAAGTCTTAATCAACTTATTTATTTTAGATAATGTGAAACCCCTTTTTTTAAATAGAAAAACAAAGCTTTATTTAGAACAAAAATTATTATTTGTAGAAAACTCTGAAATAAACATTGTCAAAACAAAATTCTCTTTAAAACCTTTGGATCATAATCAAGATCACAATTAGTTATCTCATTATCTACATTATCTATTCTTCCACGTAAAATCGAAAGTCTATAGTATAGTAGTCAACCACGCCTCTTTCTTCTACCAATCTTCAACCTTTGTGGATACTTTCAATAATATATTAAAAATATATAATTTAATTAATAAAACATTGTCATCTCATCACATTCATAATTATATTAAAGTGAGAAGTATAGAGTGCAATGCTCAAAATTCGAAGAGCAAAATTTTTATGACTAGAAATACCCCCACTTAAGACACAAAGGTTTAATGTGGCTGAAAAACATTTATAAAACAACAAAAATGGAAAATAAGATTTTTTTGAACTAATGGTCTGAATCTGATACCTTTATTAGAATGGCATTTTTTTTCGAGCTTCGTATTTAATACAAAACATAAAAAAAAATATTATATTAAGGCAACTGTTTTATTTAATTTTGATTATATATAATAAGTTCCCTTTATTAATGAAGTATTATGTATGTCATTAAAGATTAAAAAAAGATATTCAGATAGCTGTGTAATAGGTACCTCGTTTATTTTGCAATAATGAACAAATATAAAATTTTATTTTCTAAAAGTTAAATAAGTATTTGAAACGGTTATCAAAATAAAATTAAAGTCACAGTCATTAATTGACTTAAGTCTGTATTAATTTTTCAATGTAGCCATCAATCTTAAATATTTTTCTAAAAAATAAAAGCTACCAAAATCGTAACTAAACTTTCAGTTGCATATATTATTTACACTCAACATTGATCACTATAGTAGTGTAGTAACAAAAAAATAAAGTAGCTATATATAAACACCTTGTTTATTCCAATAAACAAAAGAGAAATAAAAAAGTTAATAAATATGAAAAATGATAAATGGTAAACAAATTAAACATTCTGTAAAATCCTGAAAAGACTATATAAAAATATCTTAATTATATTTCGTGACACAATAAATTATATCATGATACTTTAATAATATTTATATTTTTTTATAATAGTATAAATAGGTATAAAATAAATAATAATAGCTATATTAAAAATAGATAAATAAATAAACTTTACTCTCAATTTTATTCTTATAATTTAAATAACTTTAGTTTTACTTTTTTAAAATTTTCATTTTTCATTCGTTCAATCTAAAACATAAAATTGACTGTGAATCAAAATAAAGACTATATTTCTAACAACGAACTTTATTCGACGTTGACTTAATTGTTAATCTAAATAGCAACTAAAAAAGAAAAAGTTGGCACCAGTTTTTGGTCTCTAAATATTATTCTATAGAATAGAAAAATATAAGATGCTTTGATATATAATAGAAGTCATAAAATCATATTTAGTTAATTTGTTTTTATAACCGGAGGTATATTCTCCTTCCACGTGATAAAGAAAGGAAAAATATTTTTTTAATAATTTTTTTAATAATTTTTTTTATAATTTTTTTAACGTCATGACTTGTTTTATTATAAAAAATTGTCAACGTTCCTAAAGAAAGTAGTGCCTCTGATTTTTTATTTTTGAATCATTTTAAATTCAAAACTTAAAAAATAAATAAATAAAGTGCCTAGATATTCACAACTAAATGGATCCAAACCAATTAAAAGTAATGGCTCTTTCTTCCTGTACTTCCTTTTTATTTTCTTGAAGATCTATAAATTCCAAATTATTTTTTCATTCAAACTATAATAGATAAAACTATTTCTGCATCTCTTTCTTTTTCTCAATTGTGCAATTGTACAATTGAAAAACTACTTTTAGATTCAGAAATATATTTTGAGATGTATATTCTAAAATGTATTAAAAATATATATTTAAGATTGCGTAATCCACAAACAATATTAGATTTCTTCAGTTAATTCTATATTTAATCCCTTAAAAATAAAATAGATAAATATTCTATAACTTCTAAAATACAATCTCTAAAATATCATATCTAATTAGAAACTTGCAATGGTGATAGGCGTACGCAAAACAAATTAAAAATTGTTAACAATTTCTTTATTACAAATTTAAAGATTTGAATCTATCAGAAGAGAAATAACAATTAGTCTTCCTTCGAGCGAAAAAATCATCAATAATACAACAGAAGTATCTGAAAACCTCAGCCCGAAGCATCTCCAACAACTCATCATGACTGAGCTTCTTCACCAATTCTTGATCATATAAATAAAAACAACACACTACCACCAGCCCAAATTATTTTCACTTATTATATAAGCATTTAATATCCTTTTTTAACATATTTATATTTTGTATATACCATAATTTAGATAGTTTTAATGCTAACTATTATATATACTCATCATATAGTATTTGCACACAATACTTTTACCTCATTGCTACATGGTATTAAAACAAACATTGTCTTGAGAATATTTTAATAATTAACTCATATATTAATTTTACGGGTCTTACACACGTTGAGTATTCATGAAAAAATACTTATAGGATTTTATTATATACATGGATATCCATAAATACTTACACATATTTTATATGTATTTTTTAATTTTATATTAAATTATTTAACATCAAATCTTTAAAATATAAAATTAAATAAAAATAATTTTTAAAATAAAATTTAAAT